CATATGAGATTATCAGTGTTTGGCTATTTCGTTCAATATTGTATTTTAAATAAGATGAAGTGAAGTTAATAAATATACATCACCAAAGTTTTTATCATTTCTCTTCCTGGCCACTTAAATATATGGCAGTGATGAGGAAAGTTTTTCTTCGAAAGACACGTAAGCATCTAACATGTAATAAAGGGAAATCACTACACATTACATGTTGTTAAACAGTGAATGAAATAATCAGGAACATGTATGTAAACATGACCATGAACATGTCTTAATGTAGTTTTTTTAATTTAATTTTTAAAATGCTTAATACTTTTAATTTTGAATTCATGTACCGTACAGGTAGTATCTAATACAGTGCTTCCCAATTGGGTGAATGGTTCCTCATTAGGGTTAATGAGATCAGAATCGGGGTGAATGAGTATTATCAATTATACAACAAATGAAAGAGCAAAATATTAGTAGTTATTATTATTTATTCTAGTCTTAGTTTGATGTATGTTTAAGTCATAATAAAGAATTTTATTTTAATTTAGTATTTCATTGTCTTTTTTTTTTAATTGGAGTGAGTGAGCTGTTGTGAAAAACTTATAGGGGGTGAATGATCTTGGAAAAGGTTCAGAATCACTGGTCTAATACATAGTTTTGTTTTGTGTCATTAAAAACTACAAAAACTTGACGTGTCAGGTTTCTTGTTTATCATTATTAGTGTGTTTTTTGGCATCTTGAAAATTGTTTAAAAAAGTCACCTTAGATTATGAAAATGTCAAAACAAACCTGGATTAACTGGTTTACTTGCAGTATATATATATTTTTTAACATGATTCGTTATCCTCTGTACATGTTCATGCACATTATGAACTGAAGGGAAACCATGAAAAAGTAATGTTATTATACCATAATAATTGATGTAAAATAATATAAGTGAAAAAAAATGGTAACTGAAAGAGAGACTGAGACCTGAATTTTTACAACTGAACATAGACAGTTTGTATTCTTGGGTAGAGCACTGGTCTCGTTAGCCAGAGGTCCCAGGTTCACTTATGAGTTTTTTTTCACTTGAATATTTAATATAAATTGCAGTGCTTTAGAAGTGAAGGTGAGCTAAAATAGAATCTTCTTGTTATTTTTTTGTTTATAAAATTTTAATACTTATAAACAAAGAGCTTACGCATTCTTGTCTGGTCTGTAGTAGCAGAGTTATTGTCTATATGAGTATCAAGTCTGAACATAACAAGGCCAATGTCATCATACAAAATAGGTAAGCATTATTTACACGTGCATTTGTCTAAAAATGTGTGATATTTTGATATTTACTAGGGTTTGAAACAAAATGTATATTACTTAGATCTGTATAAATATTTATATATGTTACTTAGATCTGTATAAATATTTATATATGTTACTTAGATCTGTGTATGAGATAGAGTATGCAAAATTCAAATCTTTTTTTTGGTTATTGTGTGAGAAGATGCTGACATCAGAAGTTGAACTTAGACACACCAATGTAAGCATTTAGAAACTTGCTCATGAATAATGATGTCTCTGTCAGTAATAATTTTTGACAAAGTTAGAAGTAATGATTAGGGATTTTAGTCCGAAAGCACTCTGCTTTCGTTATCTAAGTTAAATGACTAAAATATAAGGTAAAATTTTAAGCGTTTTGTTGAATAGCTGTCTTATTGAAACTCTTACCTTATAAACGCTTGAACTGGATACTTATTGTGTGTTTGACTGCATCACTGTCACCCAGCAAGAAGTCGTTCAGTATCCAGAGCATGAAGAATCAAACTTGATTATTGACAGGTTTGTATCAGCTTTTAATGAAGTTTAATAAATAAATAAAAAACTTGTTGATTAAACTTCTTATATAATATATTTAAGTATTTTTCTCACTGTCCAGAGAGTTAATACTATTCCCAAAATCCCAGGATTCTCTCCAACAAATTCTGTTATTTGGGAAACCTCAGTAGCATAAAGGATCCTGGGAATGCAACTCCTTGTAATGTTACTTCAAGCGTGTCTAATTGAAGAATCATGCTTAAAGATGTACACACCCACCACGCTAGAAACCAAGTTTAGGTGGCCGTTCTGGGCAGAGCACAAATAGCTCATTGTGTAGCTTTGTGCTTAACTTCAAACAAACAAAAGATGTACAAATCAAGTTATTTTTCTAGTCTGTTAAAGACTTTTTAATTTTGATTTCTAGTTTATTCAGGTGTAAATAACATATGCATTATAATACGTGTCTAATTTTTAGAATTCCGTCATAACTTGTACAAAAACATTCTTAGGTTAAAAAAAGATAAAAAGGGTTAAGATGCTACTTTCAAAATTTATGGGCTATGGCCAAAATAAACATGCTAGTTTCCTAGAAGATGAATATTTAACAAGTTTTACAGGTTATGATATAAAATTTCTTAATCTATGAAATGTGGAAAGAAATGTAGCCAATTCTCTTTTTCTTCGTCTTAAATTGTAATGTTTTTTTTTTTGATTGGTTACGATAGCATCCACACTCCTACAGCCAGTCTAGAGTACTTGGAAGAGAGTACAATGTCAACTGATAGTCCATTAATAACTAACCCTTCTACTAGGCAGGCATCGCTATCAGGGCCAAGTGGAATTCGATATAGGTAACTTTTATGTTGGCCATAGAAGCTAGACAAATTTCTATACATTTTCATTTCTGGAATTAAAAAAAATATCAAGAAAAAATGACAATATTTCCAGTTAATTGTGTTATAATATTTCATTCTATGTTTTTGCTCTAAATATATTCACCTGATTACTAGATAAATATTTAAATGACTAAGTTGTCAGACATGCCTGATAAAGTCGGTATTATCAGTGATTAGAACATTTATAACGAATGAGGAAGTCACTAAATATTTCCTTTACTTTTCCTCCAGGAGTGATGTTCTTGAATATAAAAAAAACAATTTTTGATAAATTATTGAAGTAAAATGAATGACTTTACCTTTTGAAGAAAATATTTGTTTTCGTATAACCCACTTAGGTTGTTTTAAGCAGTTTAGTCAGGTTATTCTCCCCTTTACTCGTTAAAATTTGAAAGACGTATTTAGAGTAGTGATACAGATTAATGGGAGAATAAATAATTAAACAATAGGATGAATAGTTTGTTTTTTGTCTATTAAGTTAAGATATATTTTTCTCTGATTATTATACATATGGTTAAGGATGTGACATCTAGTCTATCTTGGCATTAAGAAAATGCTTAACTTTTATTATCACTTATAGGTAGTGTTTGAGATTTCTGTTTTTAAACCTAATATAACAGAATCATTTAATCTACTATTTAATATAATTTAAAACTTGTATTTTTGATACTCCTCAGAAATCTTGGAAAATCAGGACTTCGTATATCCAATATTGGCTTAGGTAAGCTATGTCAGATAATTAGAATATCCATACTTTGACATAGGTCTGTATTAAGTTATTTAATAAAAAAAACTGTTAGATATGTTTCTGTTAAGTTTTGTTTTAGGGTAACCTTGTAGTGTTCACAAACCATACGTACATCCAAATAGACTTCCTGTTAGTAACCTGGATTAAAGCTACTTTCAGAATGATCTTTATATCAGTATGGATCGTTGAACTAGGATTTATAAAGATCATTCTGAAAGTAGCTCGTTGAACTAGGATTAAATCCATATTGATATAAAGATCATTCTGAAAGTAGCTTGTTGAACTAGGATTAAGTCCATACTGATATAAAGATCATTCTGAAAGTAGCTTGTTGAACTAGGATTAAATCCATATTGATATAAAGATCATTCTGAAAGTAGCTCGTTGAACTAGGATTAAGTCCATACTGATATAAAGATCATTCATCTTTATATCAGTATGGATTTAATCCTAGTTCAACGAGCTACTTTCAAGCTACTTTCAGAATGGGTTGGACTTGGATTAAATCCATACTGATATAAAGATCATTCTGAAAGTAGCTCGTTGGACTTGGATTAAATCCATACTGATATAAAGATCATTCTGAAAGTAGCTCGTTGGACTTGGATTAAATCCATACTGATATAAAGATCATTCTGAAAGTAGCTCGTTGAACTAGGATTAAATCCATACTGATATAAAGATCATTCTGAAAGTAGCTCGTTGGACTTGGATTAAGTCCATACTGATATAAAGATCATTCTGAAAGTAGCTCGTTGAACTAGGATTAAATCCAT